ATATGCTCTTTATTTGACTTGTTCAGATTACTTTTATCCTGGGAGGAATCCTTGTGCTAATTCCGTTCCGTTTCCGGGCGGAACATTTCGTACAAGCATTTGATGTAAGAAATATTTCACCCTTCAAGATGCTCTTTAAATTTTAAAGACTGATGTCAAATCGCCCAGTAAATTAAAAAGTGCAATGTTGATCTTTTAATTTTCTATTTTATGAAATGCCAGCCTTGATCAGATCAAGACATAAATATATATATATTTATTAGTTTTACATTATAAGACAATACAAAAAAGACTTGTTTGGCCATTTTCTTACTTATAGACAGGCTAATTAAGAAAAAAATCCCTAAAATTTACAAAAATGATTACCTGTTTTCAAATTTAAGTTTCCCTAAATTTTCTCAGAAGTATATTGGTTGGTCTTTTGAAATATCAAATGCTTTTACTGTCTTGTTTTGATTCTATTATACTTTGAAAATAGCAGGTACAATATAAATTTTGTCATTAGATATAGCTTTTTTTAGCCAATAAGTACCTAATTAATTAAAATTAATTACTTTTTTCTTCACAAAAAAATGTGAGAGATTGTACATAAATAATGTTAAAGGCACATTTATAATGCCTCAGAAATCCATATTTTTCCAGTTCTTTAGAAATGTCAAACTTGTGTTTAAATTGTTTTAATGAAATAAGAGCAAATTGTTAGATGTTTAACAAATGAAGACTTATAATAACACTTAACATGCAGTAATGTGTCATAAAGGTAGTAAAATATATTATAGTGCTATTTTGACTTCCATACAAAATAATATTTCCCTATAATGATACCAAATACTGCTAATAAAGCAACAAAGCAAGTGTTAGTTCATTTATATGACAAATGAGTATTGTTTTTGAAACTGCAACAAGATATCAAACAATAAAAGTTTTTTTTAGAAATAAAAAGGATAGCATATCTGAGGTATAATGGGCCTTTAAAGGGTATTAATCTATATCTTATGAAATAGTTTTTATAAAATCTATCAACAGTGAAATTATACAATGGTTCCATTATTATGTTGTTCATTCCCGAAAAAATAGTAACATTGAATGTCTCTGTTATTTAACACATGAATAATATACGTAAACAGAATAAAATGTTCCTGAACAAAATATTATTTTGCTATTTTAAGTAGGGTTTTTTATCTGATAAACAATTAATTTGTGCATGCACAACTCGCTTTAAGGTTATTTATTGCCATTTTTAGCTTGACTTTTCGAAGAATATGGAGAGCTATTGCAAGTCGCCCCGGCGTTGGTGTCGGCAACCATGTCATCATCGGCGTCTGCATTGGTTTTTTGTAAAGTCAAATTTCTCAATTATTGCTTCAGATATTCAATTGAAACTTACAAAACTTATTTATAGTAACAATATACATCAGATTGACAAGTTGGATAACTCTGCTTGCAATATTTGCAGAATTATGCCCCTTTTGAAATTAAGAAATTTTAGTTAAAGGTAAAAGGTCTTAAGAATTACTATCAAAGATATTTACTTGAAACTTAACACATGTACTTAAGGTCATAATTGAAGGCCACATCTCAAGATCCATTACTCTGCCATGTATTTTGACTGAATTATGCTCCCTTTTGTACTAAAAAAATCTTCTTTTCTTGGTTATAAAGTTTTACATGCAAGTTTTGCATACCTCTAAAACTATTAAAGATACAAACTTGAAACTTCTATATTTGTGGTCATAAATTATGATCACTGAACAGCACTCATATCTGTGTCATGTATTTAGGCTGATTTATCTCCCCTTTTTACTTTATCTCTTGGTTTATGTTTACATGTAAGTTTTACATATCTCAATAACTATCAGGGATTTTGATTTGAAACTTCACATATGCATGAAGGGGCATAATTGTATGTCACTGACCCAGTTCCATAACTCTATCTTGCATTTAGGCTGTGACTGGATCAGGACAAGAATTGGTGAGGTGAAATATGATGTGTGGTCTTATGTGATATGGTGTGAAAGATATGATCAGGTTGAGTCTGGTTTTGTAAGTAGAGGTTTCTATGTCAAGGTGAGTTGAAATATTATGTTGTTCAATGTTATGCCGTGGAAAAAGACATGATCAGGTGATTAATGTTATGAATAGAGCAATGCTGTGGAAGAAGACATGATTAGCTGATTAATGTTATTATTAGAGTAATGCTGTGGAAGAAGACATGATCAGGTGATTAATGTTATTAATAGAGCAATGCGGTGGAAGAAGACATGATCAGCTGATTAATGTTATTAATAGAGTAATGCTGTGGAAGAAGACATGATCATGTGAGGTTTGCATCTTAGTAACACTTGGTTAATGTGTGCCCCTAGTAACACTTGGTTAAGGTGTGCCCCTGGTAACACTTGGTTAAGTTGTGCATGCTTTTATGTGTGCCTCATTGTAACACTTGGTTTATATGCGCATCCCTTTGTCTGCTTCAGAATCTTTTCATCAAGGTGGTTAGGGGCGGCTGTAGGGGAGGAGGAGGCCGTTTTAATAATGTAGTTTTGGGCACTAGAAACAGAGTTTGTGGACTTACTTTTGTCAGAGTTCACATGGCATATATCAAGACACTAGTGCAGTGTTTGTGGTCAAATTTTGACAGTACTTGCTGAATTGCCACAAGTTATCATTGGGAAAATACTTCATTATAGCTGGACTGATACCTCTCTGCTTTGCTCATTTTCCATCAAGCTATGATCTGTATTTTCTCATATTCATACTTTAATGGTTTTCTCGGCTGTGTCAGAGGGTACTTGTAATTTTCAATCAAGGACACTGCACAAGTGCTTATGTATGTTCTTAAGTTCCATTTTGAAGTTCTTTCAGTTGGCTTTCCCATTGTTTGCAACAGCTGTATAGTCGGTAAAACTTGCAGCTGGCAGGTGTTTTTTTCTAGGTGTTCATGCCCTGATATATCCCTGGTCTGTGGATTAAGACTACAACGATGAAATCCGAGGAGTCTCGCAACATTATATCCGCAAGGAGGATTCTTTTGGGAGTGATTGTCTTCAATTGTGAGCCAGCATTATTGTACCATGACAGTTGTTCCTGAGTTACGAGAAATGGATACAGTGGATCGTAGTACGGAAGAGGCCTGGGATGAACATTGCCTGCATATGACTGATACTGATTAGGAACTTTTGGTGGAACAAATAAGAATTAATATTATATGATGCTCATTATTATCTTTTTGACAACACTTTTCTGGTTGTAAAACTTTGTAGTTTCAGAATCAAAGACAATCAACTTGGAAGAGAAACCTGTTTGATGTTAGTGTCAACCAAATAAACTACCATTAGAAGCTAGCAAAGAAGTAATGTCCTTTTTCCTTTCATTGACTTTTTTTAAGAAATCACTTCAATAGCTACCCTTTTTTTGAAGAAAAAGTCATGATTTTTAGGTGCTTATTAACTTTTTTGTTTAAGTTCCATTTTCTGAAAATATGCTAAAAAACTATTCACTTCAAATTTGGTATATATGTTTGTTATCATAAAGGGACATAATTTCAAAAAAGGCATTTAATCTTAAACGAATTTATTACCAAGTTATGCACCTTTAGTTAACTTAGAATTTAGCCCTGGTATTTTTTGTTAAGATCCATAAGATATTCACTTGTTCTTGTTTATTACAAAATTTGAAATGCATTTCTAATGAGCAAATAATCATTAAAAACCATTTTTGCTTGATTCCTTTTTTGACTTAAAATATTTGCTTTTTCTAAACAATTGTAAGACATTCACTTCAAAGTTGAAGTATTTGTTGAATTTGTTGAATGAAAGAAAAGGTATACAAGCTTTCAAATGATAAAACAATGATCAAATAATAATAATGATAATAATAATAATAGTAATAATTAATAATAAAAATAATACTGATGAATAATAATAATAATAATAATAATAATAACTTTATTTTGAGAGTGTGACTTATTAAGAGTACAGCATATACATACAACTTATTTCCATTATGGGCTAATATCTATAAAGTCCATGTATGCTTAAACAGAAGCAGCAGAAAACAGCAAATAAATTAAGACTAACAAGTATGGTGTAAAATGAAGAAAACTACTCGTATATAATGTTTGTCATAACGTTGTGTTCTTTGTTAAAAAAAATACGAGTAATTTATCAGGTCCTGTATAACTTTCTTTTCATTTGGAAAAGTACATCTATTCACTTTAGAAGGTTTTTGACGTTGTCATCGTTTAAATGTTTATACTTTAGATGAGTTGTTTTATTTGACAAACAAATAAGGCTGAATGTCTCATAAAATTTATTTTTGACTTCACAAAAAAATGGACGTTTACTGCAGATTGTTGTCTATCATTGTAAAATGTTTAAATTATATTGTTGCCAACTCGTTTTTATTTTTTCATTTACACAGTTGAAGATATATTTATACTTTTTAAGTAGTTCTACATTAAGATATTTAACACTTTTTGTATCACGGTTCTTTATTACTCAGGGTCTTTAAAAAGACCAAAATGACCCCCCCCCCCCAAATAAAAAAAACAACAAACAACAACAACAAAACCCTCCACAAAGTCATATAATATTACCTTCTTTAACATTTTACCTTTAATAATCCCCCTTTTTTAGGTAGTCGCTACACTCGTCTTTAATTATAAGGATACAAAAACAGTTGAGAAAATACAACATTTTTTAAGTACCATTGGTAATAATTATAGGTCAACCTTGAATTTTCCTTCTTTTATGAAATACTTGCAATTTATGTTTGTATATTATGCACATGACAAAAAATCACGTTTATACAAATCATATCTTGAAGGCAATGCTTAGCTGCAGTATTTTTGCTGACACATGCACGGAATATAAATAACACTAGTTGTTTGTTTTAACGTGTTTGAATTTTTTTTTAATTTGTCTTAACATTGCATACAATATGATTTATTATTTATATGGACGTTTAAACAGTTTACACTTGATATTAAATGACACTTTTTGACAATTCTTTAACAGTCACGATACTGAGGTGTTGGAAGATTATATAAATACAATTGAAAACATTTCATCGCCGGATCCCTTTAGAAGTTTTCTTTATAACAGGTAAGAGTTCATTTTTTGGCTGATATCCCTGTTAACTATTTTAATATGGATGAAAAACGATTTTAATACACAAATGTTGTTGTATCATTATATCAATGTCAAACTTTTGTGTTTAATGTTGGTTAATTTGATAACGTCTTTGATAATTTAACAAATTTTGTAGGAAATATTAATCTTCAGATTGTTCTCAATATGTTTGTAATGTAAATATAATTCTAGACATATACTGGTTAGCGACAGTTGCAAAGCAAGAGTACAAAGTATTTAATGTTTACATTCTCTAGATATCTGTATCATTGTCAACAAAGACTTTCATTGCTTTTTAGACTTTCATTGCTTTTTTTCTTAAGAGTTTTGCTAATCTAATATACCTTCCGTTTGTCCAGTTTAGATCCCCCCAGAAAATCTTTTATTTGTTCAAATTAATAGCATATTGTCTTATCAAAAATAAAGAATCGCTTAAATTTGATTATAAGGTAACATTGTAAAGTTCTAGCTCTAGTAAAAGCTACTTTTCTGAGTATGGAATTTTGTTGCATAATTAATTCATAATCATATTTTTATTTCTTGAATATGAATCGCTGCAATTGACAAACAGAATAAGTTTACAGTTACATACTAGGATTTTACTATATTTATTTCTGAAATAAAGAAGGTGTTTGGTATCCTAAAATGAAAAGTCCAAGCTAACCTCATTCGTTAAGCTTCATTATAATAAGTGAGGAGAGTAGTCACAATTTATGCGTTACATATTCATTTTGTTTTAGTCTGTACAACATATTCCATGTACCCCAGCACCTGCTTAAGCAGTATTCAATCTTTAGTGAAATGACACATTATTTCAGTTTTATGCATTCATTATGCAGTCATTTTATTGACAGGTGTTGCCTACAAACAGCAGACGACAATGTTGATGTTATTATGCATAATAGCAACTGTTATACCGTTCAGTCTTGTTGAAGGACGGAAAGGATGCTGGGCTGGACCAACACCGCCAGGAGATGAATGCCTGTGAGTATATTTTAAAAATGTTTGCCTTAAAATGACTAAAATATCGTGTGTTCTTTCCTATCAAAATAATATCTCTTTATGAACCGTATTTTATATTCATTACACTTTGACACCACTAACCGCTATCGATTCAAATCACGAGCTATCGATCTAGCTAATGGCCGTACGAACGGGCAATTAGTAACCTGAATACCTGCAATGAAGATAGAAAGTCGTCAGATAACCATTGCAGAAACGAACAAATATAACAAACAACAAAACAAAACAAAAACAAACACCACCAAAACAACACTAAAAACAACATTTTAACATAATGACAGTGCAATCATGTAGTATGTAGATTTCTATTCATTTAAAATATAATTGTTTCAATATGTTCTTGTTTCTTTAATACTTAACTGAAATTACATTACATGTAAAAATTTGCCACAACATAAACAGAAATATATATGTATGTTTATATGATTTAAGGTACGGTAGGGAACTTCACGGCAGAAGAGATCTCGGCATACACTATATCTTCACTTCACAGTTCACCCGGATATGTTGTCAGGCATATGAATGTACGTACTGGGGAATGTGTAGATTCCGGGATGTTGGGTGCGGACAGAGTGTCAGTGGGTTTCCAGTGAAAACACACGCATTACGATGGGGTCAAAGGGATGTTGAACCAATTATGAGATGCTTTGATACTCGTGGAGCTGGTGCCTATTACAGTTATACAGTTGAAATTGTTGTTATTGATTAACGTTGAAGAAATACTTCTGTAAGATGTTTTTCATTTAACATAACAGAAGTCTGTTTTAATAAAGGGCAAAATAAAACTTATAATTATTTTGTGTTTTAATTTTAGTTAGCATGAATAGGCTTATTAACTTGTTTGCATATGTCCAGTTGAACTTTTTGTATAGCGATAATACACAACTTTAACAATGGCGGACAACCTGTCATTTCGGATATCTATAAAAGCAAATAATCATTCATGATAAATAATATCATCGCCTTATTTGTTGAGCTTCTGGTCTTCATGTATTTATAAAAATGTCGTCTGAAATTATGGCTATTACATTCAAAAGATGTTACTTAAACTCGTATAAAATCATAATAAAATAAAAAAGAAAATTTGTTGTGAGAATATTTTGTTGGAATACTGATTTCGAAGCTCACTCATAAATAAAATTGCATCTTACACAAAAAAGTAGTTTGATATTCTCCAAGCTATCATCACTTCAATCTTTAATAATAAATTATAAGTGTGCTCTGTACTCTTTTATAAAAGATAATGATAATGCACCATATTATTTGCATTTTTTTAAATCGTTTTTTTTCCGAGGCAGTGGTCTTTTGCAAAAGAGGTAATTTGTATGTAATTTGCAGTATATGCATATTTGGCCGTCCATTTTTTTTATTATTTTTTTTTGATATTGGCGTATGGTAAAACGTGCCTTGAACCAATCAAACCTCCTTTGCGCATTTACAATTAAATAATTTCCGTTGCAAAACATTATTTAGTCTATTTTCATGTAAATAAACATAATTCGGATGGCTATAGATTCGGACAAAAACCTAAATGTCTGCTGTTTTACATTCGTATGTGTAATAAAACATGCAATATGTTAAAGCTCTGGTTGAGTACATGTATTATAATTGCATGCATCTAGATTAGCCAAAATATTTCAAGAGAATAAAATTTGAGGAATAAGTACTATTTTAAGAAAATACATTTATTGTGTCACTAATGCATTAATTGCAATGTGAAAATTACCACCTTTGTTCATTTTACAATAGTTTACGTTTAAATACATTTGCAAACATTTCATGAACATTAGCGTTAATCTGGAGGCATGCTTCTTTAATATGTATTGGTCAAGCTTATTTCATTCTGATTCAAATTACCAAATTACCAAAAACCAATATGATGTAAACTTGCTAGAAATTAAAGAAACTTGATCAGTAATGGATAAAAGTAATATATTGTAATTTTGAATTCGTTTAACCAAATGTGTTGACTAACTTAAAATACTTTATTGTACACCTAGAGACAGTGAGAGAAAAAACGAAAATAATTTTGCTGTTAAGTTTGCAAAGAAAAGCTAGCTTTCCGAACACAGATTTGATTGCCTTACTCGGTACCTTGTCGATGTAGCTGTGTTATGTTCGTTCACGCCTTGCCATTGTAGGTCTTGATCATTATTTTTCACATTTGTTCGGCAATCTATTTCTTCTAGATCTCAATAACTGATATACATGTATGAGTCCTGTCATTGCGTTGAAGATATGTGTTGAACACAATGAACCTGAACTACTTGTCTCGTAGCTGTTTGGAATCCGCATTCATTTCAAGACTCATTACGCCTCAGAAATGAATAAATTTAAACTTCTTTAGAAACAGGCACTTATGAATAATAGTGATTTTATAGCATGTTACATATTTATCACCTGTCAAGAACGTAGCGATAAATGTAAAAAATTTTGTTATATAGATGGATCTAAGTAACAAAATGTAAACAAAGTAGTAGTTTAACTTCCATACAAAATACTGTTTAAGTTTATTTCGGAACCGTTGTTAACAGAACATGGATCAGTGCACTTCAGAAAAGATAAGTAATGTGTGTATGGATAGTATTGTAATACTTATTGGCCATACTATTCTCAGTGAATCATTGTAGTGTTGTGGTAGCGCGCTGGTCTATCAACTATACTGGAGCCGGTTCAAATCCCTGCATGTACATTTTTGAATGATGTTTGTTTTCAATGAATGGGTAACTTTCAAATGTGTGTCATGCATATAAATAACACGATAAACAAACTTCTATTAGACAATTACGGACACCATTACTGTCTCGAAAAGACTAAAATAATAGTACATGTATCTTACAAGTAAAAATTATAATAAAATCAATTATTTCAGCCAAATACGAGATTATGAAATCTCGTGTTTAATACAATTCAACTGAGCCTTTGTGCTACAAGTGACACGAAAATTATCTATTTAGTGTGAGCACGCGAGTCCTGAGCTGTTTGGTTGAGGTGTATGTTATGGCGCTGATAGAGGGACGTCATCACACATTTTTACTTGATTTCGTTAGAAACTTTTCATCGCAAAAGTGTTATAAGGTGCATTGTCTATTACCACGACAGTGTGTGCTGGAAGATTAAGGATTTGCTTTTGAGTAAGCCACTTGATGAAAACCTCGCCATTCATTTCTCCATGGTAATCATCTATTGAGGTACTCTCTTGACACTGGAGGAGACGAACACGCCAGCGCCAGCGCAACTGAGAGTGCCACAGAGGTCGAAGGCATGGTTTGAATGGTTGAATTGAATTAAATTGAAACTTATTAGATATGCCTTAGCATTCTCGCGAATAAAAACATGGACAATATATATACATGTAAATAAAATGGCAAGTAAAAAATACAAATAGTATTATCCTTTATGGGATTTCAACTTACGACCGTCCGCATGCAAAACAAACACCTTAACCACTGCACTATCATGCCAGATAATATCCAATCATCTGTTTTCCTGGTAATGCGTTTTTGTATGGCTTTTTTTCATGCCACCCCTATGTACATTTAAATTTAAGATTTCCCATTCTCGATTATATTTAGATCGACAGTACTAATTCACTATAACTGTATTTATTGCCAAACATCAATAGATTAAAAAGATAATTCATGTACTTGGCCAACGAGTTACATTTTGGAAACTACAGCCGAACACCAATCATTAAAAGCTTTTGAAAAAAAAATTGTTGAGGCATAATGGGCCTTTAATTACATTATTGATATCCATGCTGGATACGTATTTTAATAGATTATATTTTCCTATGTATTGAAAACTCAGCAAAGCTAGATACATTTTAAAGTAATCTATTGATATATGATAATGTGTTGTAAATCAGAACATAATCTTTATTGACGCAACACAGATAACAAGGTAACATTTTGGTGATAAAATGTGCGCAAAGTATAAACGGGGTATCCGTTTCTTGTTAATATTCGATTTTTTCGCTGGCGAATAAACGCTAATTAGCGGGGCGCGGGGCGAAGTCTTATTTTATTTAACTTCGCCCAACGCCCCCGCCGTTTCATTTCTTAAATTGCTCTTAAATTAAGCATGTTTTCGCTCCGCGCCCGCCACTTTAACTTGAAAATTCTCGACTATCCGCTTGTCGGGGTCGCGGGGCGAAAACACGAATGGCACAAATCAGAAACCATTGGAAAGTGGTAAAAATCGACTAGAGGAATATGACAATAAGTCGATTTAAACCAAGAAATAATCGCCCAAGGCTATTCAATGGGCAATTACATAGATCAATTATGTGTAGTAGACATAAAATAACAATCGAAGTTACTACATAGATATACAGATGTAGGACATTGCTGTTACATTTTATCTTAATTTTCTTTTTGGTGAGTTTATTTTGTATTGTCCGCTTTCTATGATAGAAAAACATATCACTTTACATAGTCTAATTAAAACATAAATTAAAACACTTCTATTTATTATGACAATCATCAATCAATGGACCATGGTTGCTGTCTTTTTATACTCTGTGAAGGCTAAGAAATCTGCCATTTCATCCGTTGTATTTATTATGTTATGTTGTCCTTGTATTGGATGGAGTTTTACGAAACATTGACGGAGGACAGGCTTTACCCTGCCTACTTCCTCTTGTCTCCCGACATATATATATGTAATACCTGACTTATAATATAGTATTACACGACCACCTTGTATATCTTACATGTCTTATGTTCATCACGATAACCATTATTCACCGGTTCTTTACAATGATTTCTCAAATTGTACTTGACATACTCTTTACATTTAGACAGTTAACAAGAAAACAAGGAAATGTTTCGTTGACGGCCTATAGTCGACATGCCAAGTTTCACATGCAAAATAATAAGTCAGGAAGATCTTCACTGAACTTCACTAAATTAAAGTATGTTGTGATCTTATCCAGATGTAGAAATACAATCATGGAAATTAAGAATTAAAATGAAATAAAAAAGAGATAATACAACGGAGGGAGTAAAAAAATATCACATATATTATAAAATATGTAAACAAAAAACTTGGATTGTCCATGAAAGTCCAAAGTCTTATATCCAATGGGATCCATGGATAAATAGAAATGCTGAATCATTAAAGGCGGCTAGTTTTTTTTTTTTTTTTGGTTTTACGTCACACCAACACAGGATACGTCATATCGTAACTTTCCAGCGTTACTGCAGGAGGAAGATCTCGCGTGCCACACAAACGAGCACCAGAGTACCTAGCTGGATAGCTTCCTCACAAACAGAATCCGAAGACGATTGCGCGGCTCGAGCCTACAGCGGTTACTTGTTAGTTATCAAGGAAAGCCGACTAGTTGGACCGAGATATGCCCCTCCCCCAAGGAAATCGATGTAACGAACGAACGTACAAGCGAACGAACGAACAAAAAATAGTAATTTAAAATACATTAACACAAGAAGTATTACCATTTCCATACTTTACGACTGCACTTAAATTCTGATATTTAAAAGTCTCCTGTTTAAATATTTAATCCATTTCAAAGGCGTTGAAAAAGCAAAACGCAATAAATATATAGTAAATATACATGTATAATCAGCGAATGTCTTTAGTTCGGAATAGTTATATCCGTAATATCACTTATAAAATACGTAATAGAAAAAACATCGAAACACGAGGCTATCTGATTTGTGCAAGGGGCGTAGAATCCCCCCCCCCCCCCCCCCCCCCCCCCCCCTCCAAAAAAAATATTAATCAGATTGCCGAGTGTTTTGATGTTCTTTCTTTTTTGCATCATTGTCAAACATAAAAACACGTTCCCTGTTGTCATAATATGAAAACCATAAAAAAGGAAACACTGATCGAGCATCTGAATATGATATTTCTGTCGCTTTTCTTTTCTCTTCCGTGACGGCATGGAAAATAAGAAGAAAATGATTTGTACTTTATAGCTTTCTAAATGCAGAAAGACTAAGTTCATGCATAGAGATGGTTTTTGAGGCTGTCATAATAAAATGTTTATACTATGATAACCGTATTTTATTCTACAAACCTGTATGGCAGAACGTCTCATAAATTTTATTTTTGACTGAGAAAAAACCCAAAAAAACTGACGTTTACTGTTACAGAAGACGGAAGTCTGTGTTTGTAAAACGCTAATATATACAGTTTTAAATGATGTTGCATCATGTTTTCTGATTTACATTTTGTGACAGTGTCAGAAATGTTTTGTCTCTATTAAAGAAGAAGTTAAATGTCAAATATCAGCATATTATTTGTATCAAAAATGTTTATAGCTCAGCAGTTCTAATTGACAAAAAAGGTAAAGATCGTGTTTATTATAGTGTCACCCCTACTGAAAGGTCCAGCTATTTCTGACTTATGAGACACCTTTTGCTTGCATACCATGTACCTCCCAACTCCTACCACTATGCCAGGCGGATATAAATCACGAAGCGGCCATTTCGCAATGAGTCCCACGAGAAACATTAATTTTTATTCAATAAAAACTCCCCGTGGGGTTCGAACCTTTGACCTCCCGATCCGAAGGCGGACGCCTTAACCACTAGGCCAACGGTATCTGTACTGAATTAAAGCATAGTCCCCAAAAAATTGATTTCCTTCAAATTTTATCCTTTCTATCCAATTATTCATTTATCTCATTACATGTGTATATTTTTCTAGAGACAGTCGCTCAATTTAATATATCGAAGTACAAACCCTCAGTTTAATACTTCAAGACCGTAACTTGATTTTTGACAAAAATGAGATTTTTACACCATTTGTTTTTGTCCTTGTCAATGAGCTCTTCATAGTGGACATGCTTTACTTGTTGCAGATGTAATTTCCTATTCCACAAACCCGTAATTCGCTTATTAAAACCATTCTTTAATTCAACAACTTTCTGTCCAATCAGATATTCTGATTTTGTACCACCTGACACATATCACATCTGTAATGGCTGCGTTTTATATCACAACCAATTATTACCAAAAACAATTAATGATTTATTTACTGATATTTATTAAATATTCCCTGGCTATAATGTATTTTATACATGTATTGTGTGTCAGTTTCTGTAGCTACAGTATCTTTTTTATTATATAATACATGCCTTTAATAGATAAATATGTAAATACTACATTTATTTGGATTGTTACCATTTCAGACATCCTAGAATTGTTGATATATTTTTACAGTCAAAGTAAAATTTATATTAAGTAAATGATATAGAATGGAATGTCTGTTAAGCACCAAACACGTTATTATACTGAAAGAAAAAAGTTTAGCAAGTTTTTCACACCTATTATTTTTTCTTTTTGAGCTTTCGAATGAAGACGTTTTTATATGTAAATGATGTACTTATCGATGCTCTTTACACATCTATTGTGTTTGTTCGAAAACCGTATATTTTATTAGCGAAGCGTAAGAAACTCGAAAATCACGTGCAACGTAAGCACGGCAATTTCGGTAGCGTGTAGAGTCGAGTAATGTACCTCATTGTTTTGAGCTGTTACCACAAACAAAATAACCATTTTAAAACTCGAAGAAATTCCAATGGGGAGTCGCCAAGGAATGACGTTAGAAGAACGTCAAAGAGCTGTAGGTATGCTCCACGCTGGTATGACGGCAAGAGCTGTCGCTCGGCATTTCAATCGCCATGAGTGTACAATTAGTCGCCTTAGAAACCGTCTGAGGCAAACAGGACGAGTCAACGACAGACCCAGATCAGGCAGACCACGGAAAACAACGCCACGCGAAGACCGTCACATCACGACGCTTTCTCGACGTAACCGTTTATGTCCAGTGGGAAGATAGCCCGAGATCTCATGAATACTACTGGGACAAGGTTGTGCCTCAGAACCGTGAGAAATAGGCTTTCGCGCGGCAAGGCACACTAGATACTGAACTCCTTGTGATTTTGACGCCTTACCCCTAACGTCTTTCAGGCTGTACAGTGAGCTAAGGCAACAGGGTTTTAACAATTTATTGTTACAAACTAATTGAAAACTAAATGCTTTATTCAATTATGTACTTGGTTCAAGTTAAGTTGGTATAGTTTCAATAAACCAGTGAAGTATTTCCGAACTTGCTAAACTTTTTTCTCTCAGTATATTTCTTTATAGCTTCTTATTTCTTAGTGTTAACAATACTCACTGGTAACATAGCGGAATCATATAAGCCGCGTCACGACAAAACCAACATAGTGCGTTTGCAACCAACATGGACCCAGACCAGGCTGCGCATCCGCACAGTCTGATCAGGATCTATGCTGTTCGCTTACCAACTCTATTTCAAGTAGAGAAACTGATAGCGAAAAGAATGGATCCTGATCAGTCTGCGCAGATGCGCAGGCTGGTCTGGATCCATGCTGGTCACAAACGCACTATGTTGGTTTTGTCGTGACGCGGCTCAATTATTTGTTTCATCTGCATTTTGTTCATTAGTGAAGTTATAGTTGTTAATATCTTGTATAGAAGATAAGATACCACTTTGTCTATGTCTAGCTACTATCACGACAGATATAACGCTGCTGTCTAAATTAAAGCACGATTAACACATATTAGATCTAATTCAGGCGTTGTTTGTTTTTGCTTATTCATAACATACGTGCTATTTCATACTCATTCGTGTTTGTTATATTGTCGATTGCTGAACAGAAGCACGTAAAAGATCGACAGACTGGAACCAAGGCTAATCTACTCTCTAAATCCATTGTTAAAACATTTTGACAGACGAAAGTCATGTTTGGTCCAAAGTTTTAATGTGTCTTTTATAAAAATAACAATAATAATAAAAATGCACAGAAAATTTTATCTCTATACGGTTAAATGTTTAAAGCTATTGCAGTTCATAATTTCAAATGCGATTTTCTCAAAATGACAAAAATAGCATACGGGTTTGTTTAAGTAAGCCAAAGAAATATCATGAAACACTTTTTTATAACCATTGGTCTTCAGTATAATTTAATAAACAGTTTTCCACTGAGATCAAAACGCTTAAAACGTTAAAGTTGAATTTGAAAAACCTGCAAAAGAATATATTAAAAATATTCACAACTAAATTGAATATATCGATTTTGTGTGAATCTTTCAACGCTTCTCATTTTTTGGGTCAAAATAAAAAGGAAACTGGAAAAAAGTGATGAAGAACAAATCTGTAAATGTGCAAAAACGTCATTATTATATCAAACGGTACTCAAATCTCGCATAACTAATTCCACAGTCCCGTCATGTCAAAATAACCTTAGTGGAGTCCCCAAATATATGTCTACATGTCTAAAGTTCTTACTTGCTTTCATGTAAAAACAGAACAATCACATTGTTGTCATATTGTTGTGGTAATTGCTCTGGAAGGGATTTATCAAAGTGCCTCTGTTTTTGTTTGTTTGTTTTTTTTAATACTGAAGAAGGTATCAGATCTTAACAGAATAACGTGGTCTCAAACAAAAGGCTTCATTGAAATTTTAAAGGGGTTTAAGCAACTATTCTGCACATGCAAATCTCGAATTTTCAGTTTATTTCTACATCCTGTTGTTACAAGCATTATAGGACCAAAAAAATTGTGAAGTTTCAGCATTTTCTTATTGTCATTAGGCATTAGTCATCATTTCAGTCTAACCTTGAAAATATCATTTTAATCTAACCTTGAAAATTGCCCATTCTTTTGTGACACTTTTTGTCTTTTGATTAATGTATTGTAAAACATGCACATACAAATACTCACGAAATGTTAAATATATTTCACAAAAAAGTCAGTAGGAAATGCTTGAATAGTCTATATTTGCTGACACATGCACTATGAATAACAACTAGTTGTTTGTTTTAACTTGCTTGTTTCTCTCAATTCTATCTTAACATAACATTAACATAAAATACAGTATGACTTATTATTTGTACGGACTTTTAAACAGGTAACATTTGATATTAAATGACACTTTTTGACAAGTCTTTAACAACCAGAATAGTGTTGAAAAGTTATATAAATATAGCTGCAAACAATTTCATTATCGGATCACGTTAGAAGTTTTCTTTGAAACAGGTAAGAATACATTATTTGACGATTTCCATTATTATAACTTTTGATTTAAATGATCACATTGTATTTTACTTTACCTGACCTCCTGATTGAAATATATTTTTGAAAGTATTTCTCTTGATTTTGATAAATTAACAATCGGAAGAATTTGATAAATTATTTTTTATATATCTGTATAATTGTCCGAGACATTAGTAACCCTTTCCCTCTTCATGGATGTTGCATCTTTATATTTTTCGCTTTTCTGTAGTCTCTTATTATATTCTGTCGGTTCTATTTATATTTTCCCCCTAAAATTCTTTTTTTTTTAAAATACAAAGCTAAACTAACTGCCATGCTATTTTTATGCTTTTTAAAAACATTTATTAAGATGTAAATCCGCTTAAATTTTACAATTAGAAAAATATATGAGTGGACCAATTACAAGAATACATTTTTTTTATTTCTTTGATTTTTTTTCTCTGAAGTATGCGCTATTCTATGCAAAATGCATCAAGCAAACCTGCGTTATGTTGATATATTTCAAGGGGTGATGTTCAATCGAGAATATACAAAATGTGTTGCAAAGGACTGTTGTCAAATTTGTTATATAGTTCAAACGCGTAATAAGAATAACACATGCATTAACAAAATCTGCAGTTTGTAGCGATGCTAAAAACAAGTAATAAATAAATAAATTAATTGTTAAATAAATTGTTAAATAAATAAATAAATAAAAAGCGGATCTTCTTGAATTACGCAAGCCTGGGTATGTCTTTGAAAGAACAATAATTTCGTGGGGAGAGGCCCACGATGTCTTCCAAAATCTGGAACTAATGGGAAGATGCATTTTACGACGTAAATATGAGTTCAAAATATTGATATAGCTTTATATGTTTAAGAAAATAGCAAACTCTAATTCTTCTTTGTGTTATGTTTCATAAACGTTTATATTCGGTTATAGGTATAGGCTTTTTTACGACGTGGAAAATATACCGGAAGAAGTATTTTCTCGCGCATGCACAATCTGCATAGGGCAAAAAGAGCATTACCCTACATAGAAATGTAGTAGAATTTCATAGACAATTCCGAGTTAGTTTAACGAAAAAAAAATAGAAAATCACATAAAACAGCTTTAAACAAAAACACCCCCGAGAGCATATACAACTTACAGACACAGTTTTATGAAGTCTGTTCATCTCTCATATGAGATAGCACTAAAGCAGTTTTCTATTTTAATAAGACGACATGAAAAAATAATATGAGTCACTTTTGTTTTTCTGAACATGATTATTGAATTATTTCATTGACAGTTGTCGCCTACAAACAGCAGACGACAATGTTGATGTTATTATGCATAATAGCAACTGTAATACCGTTCAGTCTTGTTGAAGGCCGCAAAGGATGCTGGGCGGACCCAACACCGCCAGGGAAGGAATGCTTGTAAGTATCTTTATGGAATATAAGACCGAAAAAAGTCATGTATCATTTCAAATTTTCTCAAACATAGCATTATATTTGTTTTTGATACGCTTATCAACAGGTGACTTCATATTTATGCGGAAAAAAATTTGTCAAAAAGAATGTGCAATGCTAAGTCTCTGTTATATGCAGTAACCTTTCGCTCAGTTAACAGTTAACTGACATTCCCGTTTACTACATCTAAATGCTTCTTTACTTACCAATGTTATATTATCTAAGGTATGGTAAAGAAATACACGGCGGAAGAAACCTCGGCATACACTATATCTTCACCTCAAAGTTCACCCGGATATGTTGTCAGGCATTAGAATGTCAGTACTGGGGACCGTGTTCATTCAAGGACGTATGGTGCGGACAAAGTGTGAGCGGGGTTCCAATTAAAGCTAACGTATTGCTTTGGGGACAAAGGGATGTTGAACCCATCATGAGGTGTTATGATTCACGTGGAGCCGGTGCCTATTACAGCTTCACAGTCCAGGTTGTTCCCATTGAAGATCGTTAAGGAAACTCTTTCTGACACCTGAACATGAAAAGTATTTCATTGTTGAAAGAATATAAGAAGTTTCTTTCACACTTTCTACCCTTTTCTAAACTTTTAAAATCTGACATTTTTTAAAATTTCAAACAGAATGTATATTGAATTAACATTCTATGATAATAAAGGTAACGGAAATATGAGTTTGATTTTAATTGTATTTAAAGTTTCATGTTTAGTATTTAAAGTTTCATGTTTAACAACGAAGCCCTATCTGTAGTTTCTAAATGTGTAATTACACGCTGCTTATTTTAAACCAAATTGAAACTAAAATGATCTATTCAGCTAATATTTAAGAATTCTATTTAAAGAAGACTTTCAATTCTTTTTCGGTGTAAGCTATCTTGAGAGATATCAGATTCCTTAATTGAGAACACCTATTACATGTACTATAATCATTTGACAAAACCAGTTTCTTGAAAGAAGCTAGAATAAATGAAATATAAAGAAAACAAGAAGAATAATATCATTCTCAAGCCTGTGAATACCGAATTCGCACAGCAACATACCATATTTGCCAAGTATTTACCGTTTCCACTCTATATCCCAGAGATGTCATAAAAATAGCCTAAAAACTTGTAAAATATGATCCGTTTTGAGGACTGAATACTGCTTTAGCCGGTGCTAGCCTGCCCTTTCCTCAATATTTCATGAGAAGACTCAATAAAACGGAATCTGTTATTATCATTACCTTTTTATTCATGTTTGCGTTCATTGAACGCCGCTTTTCCTTGTTGATCTTGTTTATCATGTTTTACTGGTCTTTAGGGATCGCCCCTATTCTAGAGTGTGTTCTTAATCTGTTTGATTAGAATTTTTATAAAGTACCTATATATATGTGATGATGGAAAAATTACTTCAGTGAAAATGAATTGTTATACAACCCTTTATAACAGCAATTGATACGATTGTCATACTTTATAATGATTGCAATAAAAATTTTATGTCGAAATTAAAACCTACTACTCCATGTTCAGTGGTCCCTAGTGCAATTATATAATGTATTTCTAAGATGATGAGCTGCCAAATAAAAAGCAAAGAGCTGTTGATTCAAACGCATTTCATCAGATGAGTATAATTATATTTACAATGACAAATAACAGGAAAATTATACCGTTTTTTATCCTTTTTTTCTTCTTTCGATACCGCTGTAAGAGAAGAGAAGAAAAGGTGAGGAGAAAATATCAGGATACAAAATTCTGGAAAACGGGAGGATATACGGGGAGTAAAGGGAAATTTACGTGAGATAATAAACGGTGAACATCTGTAATACCCCATAGCCTCGTCTATAGCGTTACTTTATCCTCAATACTAAATACTAAGATATTGAAATCAATTATTATGAAGACCCAGAAAATTAAATAACACTGATATAAGGTACGGAACAAATTTGTACAGCATGTCACTAACCATTTGACACCTGCTATTGTGAGTATAAAAGATCTTATAAAAATTGGCAGTTGAGGTTAAAGAGAATAGTAGGCATCAATATGAATATTGCAGACTGTTAAAAGTGTTTATGACAGCTCACGACATTTGCAATATCTCTCGCACCCCCTAGCACCGGTTTAAACCCCAATACGTTTGCAGAGATATTAAGATTTAAATACAATAAATAAGGCTTGTTTTATATCCCCTAGTAATGGTTACTTTTTGGAGTAAATCTCTAGAGTATACTTTGTATTTTTTACCTCGTTAACAATACACTCATAATGGAAAGCATTAAAATGATTGCAATAAAATGAAAACTTTGGTTTCAGTTTTTATATCTACACATAGTAAAAAGGCCATTTTAAAATGTATTAATGGCGATCACTTTCCATATTTTATCACACTGTAACTGATATAATGAAATAATTCGAAATTATAACCAGAAAATGAAGAATATCCTGTTACCTAAGACATCATATAAATGATTAGATGGTTGTGTGAATTCAGTTAGATTGTTTGCAGGGGCATGAAGAAGAAGTTTATGAATTTATTTCAAGGAATTTAATGCGGCGCCTTAAAGTTTCACAATGGCCGGAAACAATGGGTACCGGATCATCAGTACATTTTGTTTATTTATTCTAGTGTCACAGATTAAAGGTAATTATATCATTTCCGTATATATTGAGTCGAATGTTTAATGATGTCTAATATATAAGTATATTATAAATTTATTTTAGTACACAATTCGGGAATAACATGACATTATGAGCTATAAAATATTTACATTATTAACTATAGAGGCAATTATTAAAGAGTTATGCTTAGCTTTGTGTAGAGATAAGATAAGATTAGTAAACTTTATTATAGAGACATTGTGTTATGTACATACATAATAACGATACATATTTATTTTTAAAACACTCGGCCACGTTGGGCTTACAAGTCACTTAATTATTTAGTCATTTTCAAAAATAAACAATTTATAACATAATTTACATATTATTTTTCAACATAGTCACTTTAAATATCAAATTTCATATTGTAATCATAATAATAATGATAATAAACGAACCATATGTTTAACTTATTTTATTAAAAGGTTTGGCATATAATTTCCGTCATGACTGGTCATTAAAATTATAAAGTTTATAGAATTAGAACTTTTTATATATAATAGGTTTTGCTTCGTCATCGATAGCTAAAACCTATACATTTATGTTAGAAAATCGCCGAATGAATTTGGAATAAAAGACATGTTGTTATAATGGTAAGCTTTGTTTCACATATATATATACGAAATATTAAGTTATACAAGTTCATTGTACCATCATCGGTTACAAAAGTTAAAAGTCGATCTTCAAAAATCGCAACTTGCTGAAGTTGGAGCATGTATATACAATAGATTATTTATAAAGATCATTGTACCGTCATCGGTTACAATTAGTTACAAGTCAATCTTCTGATAATAACAAGTCGCGACTTGATGAAGTTACAGTTCATCCCACAGGTGTCCACAATGCAGGGTTGTTATGCTTACACATACGATGGTAATTTCTGGGGATGTTTAGGTAGCCATGTCAACTGTTCCCATGGCAATGCCAGTCATGACGAAGAAGTGCTTAAAGTACCGCGGCGGCCAGTTATACCTGAAAACAGAAAAAGAGACAACAACAAGGCAAAATTGGGAGGGTGGGTGGGTTTTTTATCCCGTGTTACTTCGGGACAGCTTGAGAGCCTCAGAGACTGGATCAGAAAGGAATTTGCAGGAGCGTGCTCGGTTTATATACCCAGTCTACTGAGCATGCGCGAATGAGGCTGACTGACATACTGGAGGAGGAGCCAGATGTACAGGTCATTGCAAAAATACTGTGACATAATGTGTAAAAATAAATAGTTGAAACTCAAGCGCTTAAACTGAAAATTATTTTTCAACATAGTCACTTTAAATATCAAATTTCATATTGTAATCATAATAATAATGATAATAAACGAACCATATGTTTAACTTATTTTATTAAAAGGTTTGGCATATAATTTCCGTCATGACTGGTCATTAAAATTATAAAGTTTATAGAATTAGAACTTTTTATATATAATAGGTTTTGCTTCGTCATCGATAGCTAAAACCTATACATTTATGTTAGAAAATCGCCAAAAGGGTCTCGAAAAACAATGAGAGAACCTTCCGCCAACAGCGGGCTAACATAAACCAAATCAACGACCAAGTCATGACGGTTGTATTGGAAATACTGGTGTGTTTAATCTTGAAAATGAGGAAAGTGCCTCTGAAATTGTATCTAACATTAAATCGTAACCAGAGGGAGATAAATGAGTGTCATCGCATGCAAAATAACCACGGTTAGTTACAGATAGTTCAGGATATTTGATATAATGGCCCCCATTTCTTATGGCGTATGTACTTATGGCACTGTTAATACGCTTTCTTGCCTTTTCTGCCAAAAGAACAAGAGGCACATATCTCCAAGACAGACGGGGCAAAATCTGAGACCAAATTAATTTAGAGTTTGGAAGGAGTTTTTGCAAACGAACAAATATTGATTTTAACTCTGCAATGATAACTGCTGATGTGGAAGACCCAATGTCATTCCCTCCGCAATGTACAAGCAAATATTCTGGTGGATTTTTAAATGATAACAGATACCTAATAGTAGGCTCAATATCACGTATGCGCATACCACCCAAAAATTCCCACGTGAGTGATCCACCAACAGAGTCTAGCCCAATATTAATACCATCAGGCCGAGTGCATAATTGATGAAAGGCGCCCTTTATCAGAGATGAGCCAACCAACCAGGCTTGGAATTGAATCACTGGAAATCCTGTATATTAACACATATAAAACAGATAATAGTCAGTACCATATCATCGGTATCAATGTAGACTGGGACATAATATAACTGTATCTTATGTCCAAGATGTAGAGTATCTTAAAGGTAGTCACTAAGTAGAAACAGATAATTTTGCCCTGAGGCGAATAGATAAAACGCCTATATTGCCAAATATCTATCATATATCAGAATAAACGGCACCAGATAGTTATGCATCTTTGATACAAAAAACGCTTCAGGTAAGAAAATTATATCTTGGGCAAACTCTACCCAATATTATACGAACTTAACTGCTTATGAAAATATTTGGGCAACTGCACCATATATGTACAAATTAAAAAGAAAAATATGTCTGAGTAAACTGCACCCATTTAAATGAACAGATTAAAGAAATAACATTTGGGTAAACTGCAAAAAAATTGTACAAAACATTCACACATATATCAGGGTAAACTGCACTTGTTATAACATCTGGGTAAATTGCACCCATAATAAAATTTTTGGTAAACTGCACCCATTAAGGTAACTCACATGTATATTTTTCAGGGTGATTAATATAGTGGGTATATTTAAGCTACTGCATGTTAACCCGTCGTCGGACTCACCATGCATTTAAATCTGGGTAAACTGCACCCGAAAGATAAAAATTTAAGACTAACTGCGTATTTAAAGCCAAAGTCGGACTGCCGGCCCAATATATCTTTAAGGGCAATTGGCAAAACCTTTTGTTGCTCTTTATAATTTTGAAAAGCAGTGTCTTCCTAAGTAAAACGTCCTGTTACCAAATTCATTCAAAAACAAACATTCATATATATATATCAGGGTAAACTATACCCGTTATAAAATCTGGGTAAACTGCACCCATAATGAAAACTGGATAAACTGCACCCAAACATTCACAGATATATCAGGGTAAACTGTATCCGTTATAAAATCTGGGTAAACTGCACCCATAATAAAACCTGGGTAAACTGCACCCATTAAGGTAATTCACATGTATATTTTTCAGGGTGATTAATATAATAAGTATATTTTATTATTTAAGCTACTGCATGTTTAACGTCGTTGGTCTAAACCATGCATTTAAATCTGGGTAAACTGCACCCGAAAAGATAAAACTTAAGACTACTGCGTATTTAAAGCCAAAGTCGGACTGCCGGCCCATTATATCTTTAAAGGCAATTGGCAGAACCATTTTGTTTCTCTTTATAATTTTGAAAGCAGTGTCTTCCTTAGTAAAACACCCTGTTATCAAATTCACTTACAATATTACTAAAAACATAAACAAGACTCCACATAGTGAAGTTAGCGAATATAGGACTTGTAGGCATTTGAGCGCCATCTACCTTTTGCTTTAATTACATCGACACTGAGTCCATCTTTAAACATGCTAGATGCGCAACCTATTCTGAATGAGTGGGATTTGATAACATCATAACTTTGGCCTATGAACATCAATGCTTTTTTCAAAACTGCATTAAATTGAAATGACGTAAGAGGACAGCCGTCAAAGTGGCGAAATAAGGGACCATCCTTTGTATTACGATATCTTAAATACGCTTGTATATGATCGAAACAGAACCTATTTTTGTTGTCTATGTCGATATCAATTATACTACCAATGCCCCTTTGATCGTTTTTGGATCGGTTTAAAAATAGACGTATTCTGTCGGAGCCCATAGTAATATCATTATAGCCCAAGCCATAGCCTTTTACATGTTTGTTTGGAGATGTAAATTCGGATTTTCTCAGTAACGCAAGGTATGCGAGAGAGAATGCGGCTGAAAACAGAATATGTTCAAACTGAGAGCGACAAATACTTGGTAAAGAATTAATTAATTTTCTAAGAATGACGACAGTAATCGGTTGCCTTCGGTCTCTAGCATTATTCAACCTGCGTAAACCCTCTAACATTCTACTGACAATGAACTGCTTTGTATTATCAACAAGACAATTCAGCTTGTTTACATAGCTAATTGCGGAAATGTAACAACGTATTGTTGCATGTGCGTACTGTTGCATTGACATGTATGCTATATATTCAGTTATTTGTTCGACTGTAGGCGGCCATGTTAAGGGAGAACCGAACAGTGAACAAAAGTTTACAAATGACTCGATTCCTGCTTTGTAATTTTTCTGTGTATTGCCCGAGAGTGACGCATTAATTAACCTGTCTACTTCCGGTTGAAGATCTGGAGAAATGCTTGTGGTATTTCGCAGGGCAGTGTTGATGCGAATTGTGGCAATTCCCGGAATAGCCTTTTCCACTGAAAACGACTTATCGAATCAGCAATAGTATTCAGTTTTGTATATATATGTTTACTCTTTACTTGAATATTTAATTCTAAAATAAGCAACATAAGGTGTCGAATAAGTTCCATCACGCGCTTGTTTTTTGAAGATTTTTTATTTAAAATTGTTACTAGAGACTCATTGTCAGATCTCAACAATATTTTTTTATTTCTCAATTCCTTGCCCCACAGGTAAAAGGAAAGTACGATTGGAACAAGCTCTAAATAGGTCATATCACGAAAAACGTCGTCTTCCCATTGGGCAGGCCATTTAAAGACGGCCCATCTGCCTTTTAAGTAACAACCACACCCTAAATCTCTATGACCAGATGAATCTGTGAAAAGCTCAAGATAAGTATCTTGTACCCATTCCTTGTCATTTAACATCGTAGAACCGTTAAATTCATTAAGAAATCGCAGCCATACAATAGCATCATCATGAATTCCGCGAGTAATTCTTATAAAATGGTATGGTTTTTTTTGCTTGACACATTACGTCATAAAACCTACGTAGAAAAGCCCTACCGGACGGGATAGCTCTTGATATGAAATTTAATAAACCAACGATAGACTGAAGGTCTCTTAGACGAATTTTTTTACTAGATGAAAGAAGGAGAAGAGCATTTTTTGCTTCTAGCAACTTATCTTGAGGAATTCGGACGGTTTGGTTTTCGGCGTCGATTTCAAGTCCTAAATAAGTTATTACTTTAACTGGACCGATTATTTTTTCCTCACACAGAGGGACACCCAAATCCAAACAAATTGACTGAAAATTTTTTAATAGATTTAAACATCTGTCATTTGAACAATCTGCCATGAAAAAATCATCTAATAGATGAGTAAAATTGTTAGACATTGATTCTTTTTTAACAAGCCATTCCAAAAAAGTTGCAAATTTCTCAAAAATAAAGCATGCACAACCAGACCCCTGAGGCAATGTTTTTTGGATCCAAAAACCCTGATCAGACTTTATCCCGAGCAAATCAAAGTCACCAGGCCAACAAGGACAAATATTGAAAGCAGATTTTATGTCGGCTTTTGCCATAAATGCACATTTCCCTAAATTTTGGACGATATTGACAGCTTCATCAAATAATGCGTATTTAACATGTCTAAACTCGGGGGCAATAAAATCATTTACGCTGTCGCCAGTCGGAAATGACAAATTGGTAATGAGCCTCCATCCGCCAGAGCGTTTAGGAACTAAACCAACAGGATTCACTCTTAAATTTGAAATAGGTGGCGTCGGAAAGGGACCATGTAACCAACCAGCATGTTTATTTTCAGCTAATAAGGCATTCAATATAGTTGCATTTTTCCTTGCGGAGATAAGATTTTTGGAAATTATAGGACCTGAATAATGAAGTTTAAATCCATTTTTGAAACCATCTAAAATAAACAAAGCGTCATCTTTGTCGTAGTCAGTTAAATATTTTTCTAAATTGACTAAATTAATGGGTGTAAAACCTAGGTCCCATAGGCCTTCTTGGGGCTTGGGGGAGTTTAGGTCTCGGAATCAGCGAAGTAGCGGTGGCATTCCTGAAACGGATATTGTTAGGCCTTATATTCGGTGCAAAGCTTGATTGTTGGCCTTGGTATCTAGACGCATTGACATGACAGAATACGGCAGGATGATTGCCAAGGCACTGTAAACATTTATGCAGAAAAGGGCAAGACCTGTTATTGCAAAACCCTTTGTTGTTAAAGGGGTAACATCTCTTAGAGAAAGGGGAAACAACTGTACTTCTAAGAACTTGCAACGGCTGCATACAAGTCATCCATAATTCCGGATCAATTGTCTCCCATTTTAAAGTTTCATTAACGGACTTTTTCAAACGGAACTGCTTGTCATACGTGTACCATCCAACAAATTTAGTAGCAGCATGCCTAATGTTTGAAATATATTGTAAGAGATTGCCTACTTCTTGTGGGTATCTTACAACGTAAATTGACATGAAAATATGAAATGCATCTGTCCAGGTTCCAACATTTTCTAACTTCTTCGAGGGTTGCTCATTGGAAACAACTATTTCGTTATCAACTATACTTACTTTTTGCTTACAAACTGAAGGGTTCTTTTGTAACAAGGAGTAAATATCTATTAAATTGTTACGCCATATCTTTTCACGGACAGACATATGGACGTGTGCACTGATTAAGTTGGAAGTATAATAAGAGTGCAAAACAGGAATATCACCTGATTCTAACTCCACCGACGAACATGATCCAGGCGACACAACATGAGAGGGTCCTTCCGATGTCCCATTTTCCTGAACAGTTCCTGGTGCCTTTGGAACGCATGGCCGTCTCTTCGAGGATACTTGGTCAGCCAGAGAACTTGTGTCAGCTTTTGACCGTCGTTTAGGCATGTTCACAGCAATTTGTAAATAAATCAGAAATAAGATAGTGAGTTAATAAATATAATTCCAATAATTTATTATTATTATTAAATAAATTATTATTATTATTATTATTAGATCTATTATTATTATTATTATTATTGTTATTTTTATTATTTTAATATAATTTGTTTATTTATTATCCTTATTATTTATTATTATTCCTTATAATCCGTAAAGGTAATGTAAAGTAACATGAACCATCAACAGTTTGTAATTAAAATATCTTGTTATTGCTTACTGGTACGAATTATCTACCTGTTAAATCATTCTAAACTAGACTTAGATATCTTAAAAATAAACAACAAAAAAAAAAAAACAACAACATAAAATCCACGATGCATACGCATCGTGAAATCGAAATTATGAATAATGATAAAATGATTTTATTTATTAAATCAGCAGCAGCACAATACTATATTTATATTACTGCAAGTTCACAAGGATATTAGCATCCGTTTCGTCACAACCGATGACGTCATAAACTATTTTCTTTTTCCTTTTTATGTATTTGTCTTCTTTTTATTTATTTTTTTTTTTGCTAGCTATTCTTTCAAAGCATCGTCCGAAACTGCGTCGGACCTTTTTCAGGCTAAAATTTTATTTATTTTGCCAAAGCACACAACACGTGGTCATACACAAAATTGATCTGTACATGGAATCTAGAACAAATTAAAGAAAAGCACCACTCAAATAATTTATTAGTTTAAATTAGCTCTTTATGTATATTTAAATAAAAAACTCACTACCTTTGGTTAGTAGAGAATCAAAATAAGAGTATCTGCGCAGTCGTTTTTTATCCCGTGTTACTTCGGGACAGCTTGAGAGCCTCAGAGACTGGATCAGAAAGGAATTTGCAGGAGCGTGCTCGGTTTATATACCCAGTCTACTGAGCATGCGCGAATGAGGCTGACTGACATACTGGAGGAGGAGCCAGATGTACAGGTCATTGCAAAAAATACTGTGACATAATGTGTAAAAATAAATAGTTTAAACTCAAGCGCTTAAACTGAAAATTAACTAATTATTTCCATTCACGAAGAAATAGTGATTAAAATGTTCTTGGACATAATAACATCTGTATTATGAGAGAAATACGAAGAATACAAGCTTACATTTTTTTTATCCAATCACTTTCGGTATCAAATCACATATATGGTACATATACAGTTGTCATTCGTGCACACATCTTTAGAGCAAATACATTTACAACATTTTTTTAAATTAATTTCTGTACAGAGACATCCTTCTTCTGTTCATAGCTTCAACTAAAAATTTAGCAATGTGCATAATGATAATTGACAGCATATACTAACTTATTTACTTCAGACATATGTTCAAAATCAGGATTTCTATCTTTACATTTTGATAAAAGGTTCTCTCGTAAGTCATTATATTTAATGCAGTTTAAAAGAAAAATGAGTCACATCTTCTAAAACATTACCTGGACAAAAGTGTCAAAATCTTTTGTTTATATTTAAACCGACATGTCTTCCCGTGTCTATCTTTAATGGAAGCATATCACATCGGAATTGGGCTAAAATGAGACCGTTCGATCATATTTATGACGAAAGCAAATAATTTTCATTATTATAATGTTGTTTAAATTCAATTTTTGTTCTAAGTTTGGCCATATTTCTATTATTATTACACCAATCCGTTTTATATTTAACAAACAATGCATTTTCAACATATTTTAGGTTTACAGGTAACTTGTTTTCATAGTAATGTGACATTTGAATTTGTTGCAATATAGTCTTTACATCATATCACCATGTTTTTTCGACACAATTGTAATCATAGGAGAACATTCTTGTTGAGAGTCTATCGTCCGCGATTCCAAAATCGTAAAATGTTAACCCAACGTCTATGTTGAGTTGAAATCCAACCCATATCACCAATTATTGCTAATGATGGTGCAAATTTATGCACACACATACATTATCTTATTGCTCTGTTTTGCGTCATATCGATTTTGTTATAATATATAAAACCCCATATTGAGGAACAGTAATCTGTTACAACAACAACAACAACAATTACTTTTATTAATATCAGATTACAGATATGTAATTATGGTGGCATATTTCTGCCACCAGATAACCTGATAACTAACTAGTTAATTAAGAGGTTAACTAGTTACGTAACTAGTTAACCTCTTAATTAACTAGTTAGTTATCAGGTTAACTAGTTACGTAACTAGTTATTTTTTTCAATAAATAAAAGATCATAACGGGAAATAAATGCATGTTAGTGCCTGCAACTGCCATCCTTTTATTATATTATCAGCTTAAAATTAAGAGGTTAACTAGTTACGTAACTAGTTAACCTCTTAATTAACTAGTTAATTAATAGGTTAACTAGTTACGTAAATACCTAACTAGTTAACCTCTTAATTATCTAGTTAGTTAAGAGGTTAACTAGTTACGTAAATACCTAACTAGTTAACCTGTTAATTAACTAGTTAATTAAGAGGTTAACTAGTTACGTTTTTTCGTAACTAAACCTCTTAACTAACTAGTTAATTAATTAATAGGTTAACTAGTTACGTAACTAGTTAACCCGTTATCACTTATCTATAAAAAGATATTGCATAATATTTGGAATACCCGTATTTACCTCTATTTCGCATAATTTCGCCTCCAAACACAAATGTAAATTCCTTCTAATGTCTGCAATGACTTAAGTGTGACTGTGTATCAATGCCATGGAGCAAAACAATGCTATTCATAGATAAGTGATAACGGGTTAACTAGTTACGTAACTAGTTAACCTCTTAATTAACTAGTTAGTTAAGAGGTTAACTAGTTACGTAAAAACGTAACTAGTTAACCTCTTAATTAACTAGTTAATTAAGAGGTTAACTAGTTAAGTATTTATGTAACTAGTTAACCTATTAATTAACTAGTTAATTAAGAGGTTAACTAGTTACGTAACTAGTTAACCTCTTAATATTAAGCTGATAATAAGGGATGGCAGTTGCAGGCACTAACATGCATTTATTTCCCGTTATGATCTTTTATTTATTGAAAAAATTAACTAGTTACGTAACTAGTTAACCTGATAACTAACTAGTTAATTAAGAGGTTAACTAGTTATGTAACTAGTTAACCTCTTAATTAACTAGTTAGTTATCAGGTTATCTGGTGGCAGAAATATGCCACCATGCATACTACATGGTATTTAAGTGATAGAGAAAATAAGTTAGTGAACTGTATTATCCAAAAAAAAAAAACACACAAAAAACACACACACACAAAAAACCCGTCTGCTTGAGATTACAACGGCGAAAACAAACATGGATTTAAACATGCATATGATACCTGGGTAAGTGTCTGAATAATAATATTCTCTAGGGACAAGTATTTCGGAAAAAAATTATTATCAAGTGTAAGAAAGTACTCAGATTATTAAGGACCACTAAAGATTCTACGGACATAAGTTCCCTAAATTTGATTACATTTGTCCTATTATAGAACCTTCTCGGAATATATTTCATTCTTTCATCAGTAAAAAAGGGACATTTAAGAAGATAGTGGAATTTGTCACCCACGTCATTTAGTGAACATAACATACACTTTCTGTCTTCATATGGTAGTGTACAATTTCGCCACCTGCCTGTTTCTACTGGCAATCTATGATTACATGTTCTAAAATGGAATACTGTTAGTCTTTTATTTGGGGGTAATATATTTAAATATGGTTCAAATTTAATATCAGATTTAAATAACCTATAATTTGTTCCTTTCGAGGAGTTTGCTAAATTCTCGTTGAATTTCTGTATAAACTGATCAAGTAATGTTCTTTTTATTAATTTGCCTACGTTCTTTAAAGTGAAAATTTTCTGGTTGATCCAATAGTTAGTATTTCCGGTAAAATCAAGAATATTTTTTAAATTATTTAACCATTTGTAATTAATTTCTGAATTCAACATAAACTCATAACATTGCCTTGAAATTTTTAGACTCACTGCCCATAAGAAGTTTACACCAATAATTTATTATTCTTGTTTTAATGACTATTTCAAGCGGAAAACGACCTTACTCACAATATAGCATGTATAGGGGCGTACTTTTCTTGCTGTTTGTTATTTTGCGGAGGAAGTCGGTGTGAACCTTTTCGATTAAATCCAAATTTTCAAAGCCCCATACTCCGCAGTTATATGTTAGTATAGGTACAATTGTTTGATCGAAAAGCTTTATCTGTACGTCATTTGGCAAGTCGATGTTAGCTATACGCATATATAGGATATGTAGTGCCTTTCTAGCTTGAATTATTAACTGTTTTCGCGCTTTTTAAAAACTACCCGATGATGAAAAAAGAACGCCCAGATTCTTTAACAATTTCTATTCTTTCGCCACTTAATGTAAACATGTAATTTCCAGGTCTACTGGTGCCAAAAATGATGATCTTAGTCTTTTGCATATTAATTGTCAATTTCCATTGTTTACAATACTGGTGAAAATCATTTAACATGTTTTGAAAAGTTTTTTCGTCTTCACTTACAATAACAGTGTCGTCTGCATATAATAGTACAAAAATTTTCAAAAGCGGCCGAAAAATCTATGTACGAGCAATACAGTTTTTTCTTTTGTGAATGAGAAATTTAAGAGTAAAAATGTGGTCTGTGGTTGAAAACCCAGATCTGAAACCGTCCTTTTGTTTAAGGATGTCTAATTTACTTATGTTTGTTTGTTTTGGGGTTTACGTCACATCGACACAGTAAAGGTCATATCGCGACGTTCCAGCTTTAATGGTGGAGGAAGACCTCAGGTGCCCTTCCGTGCATTATTTCAGGCACGAACGGGTACCTGAGTAGAACCACCGACGTTCCGTAAGCTAGCTGGATAGCTTCCTCACACGAAAGAATCCAAAGTCCCTGTCGGGATTCGAACCCACAGAGGTGAGGGGCAAGTTACTTAAGAAAGAGTTTATGTGTTCGTTTAATATGGCAGTGAATATTTTCCAAAGGCAACTTAATATTGTGATTGGACGATAATTTCCTGGGTCTAATTGTGAACCTTTTTTCTTGTAGATTGGCATTATAGTGCCGATAAGCCATTTTTCAGGCAAAATCCCACTATCAAAAATTTTATTAAAAAATTTACTGTAAATTGGTGTCAAAATGGACTTAGTACTTGTAATATATTCATTATAAATGAAATCTTGCGTGGAGCTGCTTTTGAATAATTGTATTTGTTTATCATTTTTAATATTTCAATTTCTGTAATGGGCGCGTTCAAAATACTGTCATCTATAGTTATATTTGGTTCCGCTTGATTAGTTTGTATACAATCATCATAATCGGGGTCGGAGTTTACTTTTTTAAAGTGATTATAAAATTCATTGATATCTGGCGTAGTATTATTAGGACATGTATTATTCAAATTGTTCAAAATTTTCCAAAAATCTTTCGTTTTTTTCACAGACATACTATTAAACTACATGGGTTTTTTAGAATGCATTTCTCTTAATTTACGTTCGTTTCGT